GTATAAAAATGATTATAAAATAATGATGATTATGATAAAAGTAATAATTGTTGTTGTTATGATTACTACTACTGTTACTACTAAATTAAAATATTAAACAAAATAAGAAATGCTTTTTAGTAATAAATATTTTAAGAAAAATAATACTAATATAATAATTTTACAGTGCTAATATTTATAGCTGTCTTACTTTCTTTATTTAAACCATCAAGCTCTAACTTAGCGGAAACTGTAGGGAGATCTTAAAGCTCCTCTTTTGTTACAACAGCCAGTTTATAAATGCTTATATAGAAAAATCAATATGATTATAAAATAATGATGATTATGATAATAAATGTACTGTTAAATGAAATAATTAATATTATTTTACCATATTATTATTATTATAAAATAATAATAAAACGACTAAAATAAAAAAAATAAAAATTAACAAAATAAATTACTTTTTAATCATTTTTAGTAATAAGAAATATTTCTAATATTTCACTGTAAAAAAAATCCAGTATTTAAGAAAATAATACTTATATGATAATTTTATTTTACAGTACAACTTAAAAATGATAGCCTAATATTTATGGCTTTAATTTCTTTATTCTCAAACATTATACCATCAAGCTTTCATAATAGTGTAAACCGTAGGGAGATCTTAAAGCTCCTCTTTTGTGGACAAACAGCTGGTTTATAAATGCTTTATAAGTCCAAGTCGCATGTTGCATTCTTAAATGCATGGTATAAGCGACATATTGTTATTGCAAATTTAGAATTTATTTAAATTAATCTTGCAGCCCTAATTTGAACTGAGCATTACTATTGATTTTCAATGTAATAAATATTGTGTGGAGCTGATTTGGTTGTTTGACTCTACAGGAATCCCTTCAAACCCAAATCAGCCAGCAGGATATTCGGTTAGAATGGAGAGCACTCTTTCTCTGGTGACCCAAGCCCCAGCTATCCAGCCTTTACCCATGAGACCAGGAGTTATAGCACAAGTAAGTCCTCATTTCACAAGATGATGTGGAAAAATAATTGAAAACAGCCGAGGGTTGTTATCCATGTTGACATACCAGTTTCGATATTAAACTTGAAGCCAGATACATTACAAAGGTTCAGCATTGTCCTTTTTCAACTTTTCAGCAACCATGGTCCAACAGGACTCCACAGATCCTGGTGCCAGCTTGGCAGCAGGTCCCACCACCTGCTACGAGCTTGGCATCCGATTCAGTTGTTGTACCGCAGAGGCGAGGAGACTGGGGGTAAGAAGATCAAGAAGCACCTCAAATATCATGAGCTGACACCACCTCTTGAGCGTTTTGGTGACCTAAAATGTGGTGTTTGTTTATCTGTTAAAGGAAAGTGCGGCCACACAGCAGCCATTACAGTTCAGTGATGCCACAGGCTATTGTTCCCAACCAAATGGCTGTGTCAGCCCATCAGCCTATAAACATTGGCATTGCTCATGTGGTCTGGCCTCAGCCTGCATCTAACAAGAGGAGCAAACCCAGCCATAACAAGTGAGCAAGAGCCTACAGTCATTGGCGGGGGCCCAAAAACCATCGATTCGAACCTTATGATACTCTTGTTAGGCAGCTCATTCAGGTTTTTAGTCTAATGTTTAGCCGAAAGGTAAAGTTGACTGAATATAATAATTTTTGTTGCTTTCTAGGAGTATGAATGTCTTGCACTACACGGACACCCAGCCCTCAGTGTGTCCGTCACCAAAGATGGCAGACAGTTTGGCAAGTGCGGAGCCACAGCCGAGCTCTCCTGACAGAGAGGTGCAGGCCCAGGTGAAACCAGAACCGGAGCAGGTGGAGGAGGAGAGCTGCTGTAAAACGGCAGTGGCCAATCAGCAGCGAGAGTCTATTATCAGAGAGTCACCCAGCCCGGCAGTTAGCATCATTAGCATAAGCAGTGGCACAGATGAAGAGGAACAAGCACAGAGGTGCTCCCTTAACAAGTGAGATGAACATTCATTATGCAGTATTTTTTTCTGAAGTTTCTGAACAATTCAAAATAACTGTTTTCTATTTTAATGTATTTTAAAATGTAATTTATTCCTGTTATGTCAAAGCTGAATTTTCAGCAGCTGTTACTCCAGTCTTCAGTGTCACATGATCCTTCAGAAATAATTCTAATATGCTAATTTGGTACAAGAAACATTTCTTCTTATTAATGTTGGAAACATTTGTGCTGCTTAATACTAATTACTGTGATACATTTTATGCATGAATAGAAAGTTCAAAAGAACAGCATTTATTTCAAATCTTAAGTCTTTTGTAACATTTATTAGTTTATTTACAATTTTCTATACTTTTATTCAGCATTGATGCATTAAATAGATAAAGTATTAATTTATGTCCCTTCCCTAAAAAACAAACAAACAAAAATGTATAGTCTGCAACTTGGTGGGGTGGTGTGACCTATTTCACTCACAAATAGAATAGCCGGAGACCATTTGCATATAGAACTCTTAAAGGTGCAGTAGCACCCTCTTTAATTCTGAGGGTCAGTGAGAGGGTGAAGCTAATTTATGACTTTTTGACCAACATAAGTAGATTTCAGCGAAATAAACAATATGCTACATGAAAATACTGTAAATTGTGGACTTACATTAAACTTTCAGATTCTGTTTTGTTTGCATATGGATCTCATGGCTAAATTGAGTTGAGTGTGTTCTTTGACAGGTGTAAGGGCAGTCCGGAGTGTGAGGCATGCACAGGCTCTCTGAACATGGAGCGAGTGTGTTCCCTCAGCAGTCCTGATAGCAGTCTGAGCACCAGCTCCTCAGCCTCGGCACAATCCAGCCCCTCGCCATGCAAAAGACCCAGCAGGTGCGGTATTTTCCTAACTACTAACACCAGTAGAACTGTGAGGTGAGGTGGAGTCTAAATGTATTTGTATTTTTTTTGTTTTTTCTCCTGTGACTTACTGCAGTATATCGGAAGATGACGGCCATGAAAGTGGGTGTGAAACAGTAGACGGCTCGCCCCCTTCAGACTCCTCCCTAGGACCTCACGACAGCCCCTTCCCTGAAAGACGCTTCCTGACCAATCAGAACCAGAACCAGGAACCCCAGGCTAGGCGTGGACACCCCAGCACAGCGCTGAATAAACCTGCAGTGAGGACCGTGGTGGTGCCACCCATGAGAGTGCTGAATAATAACCATTATCCAAATAATGAGCAGCACACAGCCGGCACAGGTATGGACTGTCCACACACACAAGAATAAGTCCAGTTGTAGGTTATCAGAAATAAATGAAGGGTTCTAATGGAAGTTAAGCAGTTGTTAGTGCTTTGATGTTTTCTTAAAATAATGTTCTGGGTTTGATACAGGCTGTTTTGTTAAAATCATTTTAATTTGTCTTTCAGAAATCATTGTAATATGCTGATTTGGTGTTCGTTTGGAATTATAAATATGAGTGTAGTTCATCTGTTAATATCACATGCACTTTTTTTGTTTGTTGTTTTTTTTAGTCACTCAGTGCGCTGGATGAGACAAAGTAATATAGCCAAAACAACCGCATAGTGTGTATCTTTAGTGTAGATGCATGTTGATTTTATCAGACGATGCCGCAATTATAAATGAGAGTGACTCCTGGTTAACGTATTAAAAGGGGTCGTGTTTAGTCACCATTTAGTGTGGTATTTTTTGACAATATTCACTCATCATGACAGTAAAATAGGGCATTTTAAGTCAATATACTGCAGTATTTCCTCTCTCAATCAGTAGAAAATATGGTTAACACCCGGTCATGCATGAAAAAAAAAATACCGTGATATACATTTTTGGTCATACCGCCCAGCACTACAAGAAATCTTTCTCATTATCATCAATGTTGAAAACATTGTACATTGTGCTGATTAATATTTCTGTGGATAGTATTTCTGATACATTTCAAAAGAACTGCATTTATTTTAAATAGAATCATTTGTAAAATTATAATTCTTTACTGTCACTTTTGATCAATTTAATGCATCCTTGCTGGATGATAGCATTCTTTGTTTTATTTATAGAGTTTATAGTGTTTAATGGCTTTACATGACATGAGTTCGGATTATGAATTTGCAAAAATTTGTGCTTCCCTTTTTTTTGCGATAGAACATATTTAAGTGTCACAGCTATATTTTCAAAAACTTTGTGTTTTAACGTGTATCCTAGTGCAATGCTATCCTGAATAGACTTTTTTTTTTTTACAAAATGAGGGACAGTCAAGATGATTTTCTTTGCCATTGGACCACAAAAAACTGAAGAGCTGAACTACTTCTGTCAAACCCAGAATGTTCCTTTAATGTCTTGTGCAGGTTAAAGTACAACTGTTTAATGAAGCGCTATTTGCATCTCATTTACATCCACAGCTCAGATTTTACATAGCTACAGTTTCTGCTCGTTCGGATCATAGTTTTGTGAAATTGATGTTTGTGTGCTATACAGACTGGTTTCTCTGAATTTATTTTTCCCCCCCAGTCTCAAATTGGGCCATTATTACAAAGTTTCTTCTGCACAACCAATTTTTTGGTGTAGTCACAGCCAATGTCTACTTTACAGGTCATAGGAGAGAAAACGGAAGTTGTCATAGAGGCTATCAGAGGTGATTATGGGTATAGCGTGCACTGTGACCCAGTGTCTTGTGCGCGACATCCCAGTATTGAGTGAGACCCTTTCGGTTTGAGCTTCCTCTCCCATACCTGATCTCTTCATTCCCAACTTAATTTTTACTCTGCGTGTTGAAAGTTTATTTATTTATTTATTGGAAAATATTTCCCCGGCCTCCTTCTTTCGTACCAAAGCATATCTGTCCTGTTTCCTATGTGGAGCCAATGCTTTGTTTTCGAAGCATGCTTTGAAAGAAATATTACTGGAGCGGTAAACTCTTTCAGATGCTTCTCGTGGCACGTTACCCAGGCAACATGTTTGTTTTGGGGTGTCCATGGAAAGTTTGAGGAGAGTTTATGTTTTAGATACATTGCTATCTAAGTTTGTTTTACAACCTCGCAGTTCATACTTGTTGGTTTTGATGTTTAATTCACTTTCTTTTGAACAGAACGTCAGTGAATACTGGCAGCCGATTCAGTTTGTACAAGCTGCAGTTCTTGTGCCAAACTGCAAATGTTAATTTATATAAGCTGAAGTTTTGCATTTAAGTTTAATCATCTTTCTTTCCTCTTATATCTTTTATTTAATGATCACTTACTTTTTGGTCTTTTATGCTTTCTGTAGTCTTAGAATCCTACTGCCAGTCCAGAGGTCGCTGCGGCCCAGGACGACTGAGCCACTTTTCTACACCCACGTTGCCCCGCCAGCAGAAACTGAGCTCTTCATTCCAGCCACAGCCGCCAGGCTTTGGCCAGGTCTGTCTTTTTGGCTTTTTTTCTGTAATACTGTACAAATTGTAAAAGTAGATAAATGCTCTGTGGTTCATAATAAAAGTATGACCATTTACATGCTTAAAAAAAAATAGCCAATAACCATATTCAAATATACCAAAAATATTGTTGACTCATCATGCGTTACACACATTTATGTCCAATGAAATGCTTTAGAATGAAAATGTCCTATCCACTAATAACACCTGCAACCAACTAGCAAGTAGCAATTTATGACTATGGTATGAACTGCATTTACATTTAGTCATTTAGCAGACGCTTTTATCCAAAGCGACTTACAAATGAGGACAGTGGAAGCAATCAAAATCAACAAGAGAGCAATGATATGCAAGTGCTATAACAAGTCTCAGTTAGCTTAACGCAGTACACGTAGCAAGGTTTTTATTTTATTTTATTTTTTTTATTATATAATAAATAAAAAGAAACCCGATAGAATAGAGCAAGCTTATGATGTTGCTAAAAACATTATTTTGTGTATTTGGTGTAATGAAATGTGTTTATGCGGTTTAAGGTTCAAAAAACTTTTAAAAAATTATTTTCCACATACTGTACATTATTGTTTCTCCTCTATGCCCCGCCTTTCTGAAACGCATCGATTTTTACAAAGCTCATCGGTCTGAAAAGCGAGGTGTGCTCTGATTGGCCAGCTATCCAGTGCGTTGTGATTGGCTGAATACCTCA